ACTTGGGTGTCTACCATTCCACAAGGGGATTGGCTGTTCTCAGCAATCTACAAGAGGAATGGCTAGTCTCACCAATAGATTGAACAGCTCTAGCTATAGAGAATAGGAATTCTTCCCCCATCATAAGGAATTCTTCCCCCACCAGAAGAGATGAGATTCTTCACCTAGCCAGAGAAGAGAAACCTCCTCCAACCCAGCGGAATGTAGGACAGCTTCAGGATGGCAGCAGAAATGATCACTGAACTGGAAAATTGAATGTGACATTCAACTTTGGGGTGAGGAAAGCCAATATCGGCAGGACTGAGAACTTGGAAACACTTAAAGCCATGAGGATTCAGGCTGAGGTGCCTATGTGCACATTTTGTGATGTTTTAACTCTATTTTGTTATTAATCTGAATTGCAACCTTTTCATTCCCCCAGTATAGTTCTGTGTGATGTGTGGTCTGTGAGCTGTCATATTGGATGTTAGACCCAGCCAAGCAGTAAGACTGGTATTGAGATGAGTACACGGAGGCATGGGAGCATGGGGGGCATGTCCAACCTCATGGGAATTGGTTTTGTGTCACTGATGCTGTGGACAGAGGTGGTGGTTCCCCCCTGTAAGGTTTGTAAGGGCCAGATACGGCACACCCCGCATGGCCCTTGCACCTTTTACAGCAAATGTTTTATTCATTTTCCTCCAATTCTGATGCTTTTCCCCCCCTCATAATCCACCTTCTCAGATTATTTGCTCAATTTGCAAACTTAAAGAGCATAGTGAAAAGATTTTACCTACAGAGTCCTCAGTATTACAGTTCAAAGACTGAACTGTTTTTCATTTTTTTCACCTTGAAAAATGCCAGCACTCTTCTTTCCTCTTGGTTTTCTAATTCCAGATCTTATATAGACATCTACACAAAGTGTGTATACAGATACACACAATTGACTTCTTCCATTTGCTTCAGAAAGAGAAAATGAAACATGGTATACTTTTTTTTTTAAATAGCTATGAGCAAGTATGTATTTCCCACATGGGAAAAATGTAACCTGGAAATTGAGCTACTTCTTTTGCTATAGTAGGAATTTTTTACTCAGCTCTGTAACAGCCTTGGCCAAAACCAGGCAGCTGTGTAGGCAAGCAGTGGGCACCTTTCCTGCTTCGCATCGCCAGGGACAGATTTGCTCATATTTGAAACAGCCTTCATTAACAGTATCTTTCTATCAAAAGCTGTTTGATTGCCTCGGAATCTTAGACATACCACAAGGCAGTTGAGACCTCGCCAGTGAATTTTACTTGTGTGAGATATTGCATAACTCCCCAAGGGAGAGGGAAAACCAGAGAGGCAGGCAAGAGAGAGGTGAGAACCCGACGATAAGAAGGTCTTTGTACTAGTCCCCTCCCCTCAAGCAGCCCAAGCCATTGAGATCGTACAATCAACAAGCAGCCTTCCGTAGGAGGCATCTCCTGCCCAGAGGCTGGCTGGTGGGTGACCAGATGTGAACTTGTCTCTCTGCAGTGTGTGGCTGTGACCTGGCGCAAGGGGGCTTCTTCATCAAGAATGGGGAGTACCTCTGTACCCTGGACTACCAGCGCATGTACGGGACACGCTGCCACGGCTGCGGAGAATTCGTGGAAGGAGAGGTGGTAACTGCTCTGGGCAAAACCTACCACCCCACCTGCTTTGCCTGCACTATCTGCAAGTAAGTAGTTGTCGTTGTGATGCCTGCAGCTTCCCCCAGCACAGACATTCTGGGCTTGGCTGTTATCTGGAGTAATATTTAGTCTAGGAGCCTAGGAAACATAGCACACAATGTCCTGGGTTACCAACTGAAAGGTGGGTGGTTTGAATCCACCAGCTGCTCCTCGGAGGCAAGATGAACAGTCCTTTCCCACAAAGATTTACCGTCTTGGAAACCTGAGGAAGAAAGCAGCTCAACAGCAGTGGGTGGAGTTTGTAATCTTAAAAAGTTCTTTTTCTTACGTGTCCTTAAATTTGTTAGTCCTCCTCCTAAAACATCCTTTTAGATTTAGTAAAAAATCATTTCACTGGGAAGCTTTAATGTGATGTCCACTTTGGGGTAATCAGACTGTTTTTAAGGAGGTTGAAACCAAGTCTGAGGCCGAAATATTTGAAGCAATGATAACATCAAAGAGAAATTGCATAGTTGTTTGGAAATTTGAAGCTTAGTTGGAAGTGTGTGTGTGTGTGTCTGCATCTGAATAATATATTTACTTTATACTTTATAATTGAATATTGGTAAACTGTGGCCCATGGATCAAACTAAACCAACATCTATTTTGAGAAATGAAGCTTTATTGGCGCATAGCCATATTTGTATGTTTTTGCTTATTATCTATGGCTATTTTCAAACAATGATGACAGAATTGAGTAGAATTGAGAACACTGATCCTGTGACCTCCAAGGTTTAAGGAAATGTTTACAATCTGACCTTTTATGGGTCGAGTTTGCTAACCTCCACTGCCTAGGCATGTTTTTGTTGTTGTTGTTTACCTTTGAGTCAGGACCAACGCATAGCTCACCCTCCAGTGGATTTGTAGAGGCAGTTGGAAGTTGCACTACCAACTGAAAGACAAGTGGTTTGAATTCATCAGCTGCTCCTAGGGAGAAGAGTGGGCAGTCTCCTCCCATGCAATTTATAGCCTTTGAAAAACCACTGGTGGGTCAGCTATGGGTCGGTTCCAACTTGATGGCACATAACACCACCACCTCTGTTCTCTGGGCCTCTGTCATTGACCAAGGTTAAGTCTAATGTCACAGGTCAACTTGATTCAGATGATCAGAGAGAAAGGTGAAGTGTGAGTTAAATATTTGTGTTGCATTTGAGGGATTATCCATAAAAGAACTCAAGATGGTTTAATTCCAGTAATAAAACTGAGACTCACCAACAATGTTCAGCCACTTTATTGATCAATTCTAACTCACCAATCCTAGAATTTTGGAGTAACACTGATGTTTGTTCTGTTCTATTCCTTTATTTTTTTTTTTTAAAAAAAAGAAGAGGTTTTTTGTTTCATCTTGCTTTTTAGCATTTTATGTTTCTAAGACAGACATCTGATTCTATAGAATTGAGTTTCTATAATTAGTGAGTTAATGCTGATAGACAGAGCCTAATAAAACTTAGAAAATATTAATAATAAAATTGGTTTTAAGAATATTATGTAGCTGGGAGCTCTGGTGGCCTAGTGGAAAGGAGCTGCAACTACAATCCCAGAGGCGCACGGTTCGAATCCACCAGATGCTCTGCCGGGGAAGGAGGGACAATCTCCTCCTGCACCAGTCAGATCTGATTTGATGGTACACTCACACAAAAATAATAAAATAAAATAAAAATTAAAAAAAAAGAATATTATGTAGCTATTATTCCATTTCTTAATTAATTATAGTCTTTAAAAATCTTTTAGGGGGGCAAGTTCTGCCTTAATGGACTAAAATAATATCTGCATAGGTTCAAAGGCAAAGCTTCATGCTGATCCCTCCACTTTCAGGACAGCAGGACACAGCACTCTTCAGAATTCAAGGCTGGAATTCAGGAGACTCGAGTTCTAGTCCTGATTCCTCAGCTGACTGACGAGCTACATGAGTTAACTTGTCCAAGGCAATTGCCCAGTAAGAGGCTACAGACTAGATGAAAGTGGCTTCGAAACCTGCCTGGTCCTGGAATTCCCTGGGATGGGATAGCTTTAAAATACCCATTTCTAGCCTTTCCTCCTGAACCCAAACCCTCATGCTGGTTTGTGGGACAGAGGAAGGAGGTTCCCAGGAATGGGATTAGCCAGCCAGATTAGGAGACCTTGGTGCCTAATCTGATGAGCCTAAGGTTTCTGTGCTCCTGAGAGAGCATTGTATTAAAGTTAGTAGCAGTGCACAAACATTTGTTAACTGGGTCCTTGTCCCTGGACTTCTGACCCTTCAAGAGGTGGCCACCATTGCTCCTCACCGTGCTCACTGGCACTTCTTCACCTTGACCGGAGTCCTCTCCAGTCACAAACTGCCGTCAGCCACACTTTCCTCTCACCCTCTTAACAATTCTGGGTGTTTAACCAGGAACTAATATCCCCATGAGTCAGAATCAACTTGACAGCAATTTCCCCCTAATTATTTATTATTATTATTATTAATTTTAAGGAAAGTTTACAGAGACTTTGGATTTCCATTCATTCATTGTTGCACTTTTCTCCCTGCCCATCCCTCCCGTCCAGTTTGCTCTTCTCTTTGAAAATTAAAAGAAAAATTCTTTCATTGTTATACAGTCCCTCCCCTCAAGTCCACTCCACTGTGCAGCCTGCGTCCTGGACTCATGTCATGACAATAATACCTAATCATATTAATTTTTAAATATTAATGACCACATAGAGCTGGGTTCCCCATTAAAGGCTTATTACTCCTGTTGTGGAAAGCATGGGAAGCTGTCCACTAAGGTGAGGAAGGAAACACGGAAGGGCCTGTTTTACCTTGTTCACTGAGCCTCTGATGTGGTGGAAAACATGAACTCTTCCCTGATAAGCACAGCAAAGCTTATGACTGCCTTGCTTATTGGATAATCTGACACCATTGTAGGCATCCAGGTTTAAAGGACTTTTCCAGGTTTATGTTCCCAGGGAAAGATTTGAACCCAGGTTTCCTGACTATAACTCCAGTTCTCTCTCTAGTGCAAACAGGCATGGAAGAAACAGAAGCACACAGACCAATAGAGGAAGACTATGCAGGGAAAAGGGAAGGTGTTGGAGAGGGTCAGTAATAATTCTGAATAACAAAAGTCAAAGCATAAGAGGTCCAGCGCCTTGTTCAGAGGTGAACTCCAGCTTGTCCCATAGAAGAGCGGTGTAGACTCCAAGTCTCACAAAATCTCAAAAGATCAGAAACAGGGCTGGACTAGGGTCAGGCAAGTGGGGCAGCTAGGGCACGGCATTTAAGGAGACACCCCCAGTCAGGGCTGTGCGAGCACAGAAGTGAGAGCCTTTTACAATGTTGTGCTGTAGTTGCCTCACTTGGCTCGCCCCCACCTTGACCCTGATCACAGGTACACAAACAAACCTGTGCCTGTTGTGACTCTGACCTTGAACTCTCTGAGAACTTTGTTACACAGTACATGTGATGCTTGTGTTGTTAGGTGCTGCTGAGTTGACTAGGGCTCATGGAACCATGTGAATAACAGATCAGAACAGTGTCCTTTCCTGCGCCATCCACAGGATCTCCACCTCGCCTGGATCCTTTGTTACAGTCCCTGTGTCAATACATCTTGTTGAGGGTCCTTCTCTAACCTTCCACCTTTCCCAACGTGTCTTTTTCCAAGGACTAACCCCTCCTAACCACATGCTTAAAGTATATGAGTGTCACGATTTCTGCCTCCAAGCAGCACCCCAGTTATACTCCCTCCAAGACAGACTTGCTTGCAGTTCATGGGCTATTCAATACTCTTCACCTTCACCGCAGTTCAAAGGCATCAGGTCTCCTTCAGTCTTTCTTGAATAGGTTTGTACGAAATGCATATAGGTTTAATTAATGAGCATGAGCAAATGAGTCCACTATGGTCTCACAGAGTATGGCTTTGTTAGAGACTAAAGGATTAAGTTTGTGTTAGTTACCTGTACCTGCCCGTAGCCTGGTCTCCTCTGCTGGGTAATCTAGGCAACTCGCTTTACCTCTCTGGGCTGCATGTGAACAATGTGAAAAGGGATCTAACACCACAGCATCAGGAGAGGAAGTAAGAACTCTGTTCCCCAGGACTTCTCAAATCCATGGAGAGAAGAATGTCAACTTCTCCTTGAGTATTGATACCAAAGCCACTGGTGGAATGTTTGTGTGTGTGTGTGTGTGTGTGTGTGTGAAAAAGAGAGAGAGAGAGAGAAGGATGGAGGAAGGGATGGAGGGAGAGAGAGACAGAGAAAACACAAACACAGAGGGACAACTTAAAGAGAGATAGCAACTATGAAACCAATGATGTTAGAAGCTTGAACTTGCCCTTAAGTTTGGCATCTGATTCTCATGTATAACAAACATGTCAGGCTTGTGAGCTTTTTTCACATTTCCTAATTTCAGACCTCTGCTTCGCATCTTCCTCTCAGCTAGCTGGTGAATTTGAACCAAAAGCAGTTGAATTTGGGAGCACAACTCCTTTCCCACTTGGCCACCAGAACACATCCTGGGGAAGGTGAGGGATCAGAGAAATAGAGGAAAAAGACCTTCAGCATGATGGATTGGCAGTGACTGTAACAACAGACTTAAGTACATCAGAGTTCACACAGATGTCACAGCACAGGGCAGCGTTCAGATCTAGTGCGCTCTGGTTAACTTTTTTTTTTTTTCTCTTTAAAAAATTTTTTTTACTATGTCAAAAGGCCTGCTTTAGTGGCATGCTACTCCCACCAGAAAATAACCCAATACCCCCTTGTCGGTAACATGCTTAAGGTGACCAGCCAACTCCTATTTCTAAACTCTTGTGTATGTGAGTGTGTGTAAAAGTACATGTATCTTATCAACGCGATGACCCAAAGCCGCCTCCTTCCACACACTGGCTGACTGGCCTGGTTAATTTAATGGCACCTAATAACAGTGTTCCATCCTTAGGGAGCTCTGGTGGCCTACTGGGTAAGGAGATGGGCTGCCAACTGAAAGGTGAGTGGTTTGGGTCTCGCAGCTGCTCGGTAGGAGAAAGATGGGCATTCTCCTCCAGTACAGTTCACAGCCTCTGAAAACCTGCCGGAGGACCAGCGATGAGCAGTACTCGACTCATTGGCACCTAACAAAAACAACAACGATTTCATGTGTTGGAAAACACATAGTGATGAAGGTCATTGGTAAATAGACCAGTTGCCAGTAAATGAGCATGGAAATCATTGTGTCTTTTAACTGGTGGCTTTTTGAACAGGGCGCCCTCTCTGCTGAACTGGGAGGAGAAACGGATAACATACGTGCAGAAGACAACATTTTTATAAAATACGCAGTTACTCTACAGGCTCAAATAGGAAAGCAAAGTGTCCTTCTGGAAAGAAGCTAATACTCATTCTTCAGCAGATATTTCTTATTGACATAATTTCCTGTTTCTCCCCACTTGTAAAGGACTGCGTCTCAGATGCCATGACACGTTCAGGCCACCCATTCAGAGATCTGGAACCAAACTAAAATTCATTGTTATTATGCACAGGTCTAGCGATGGCTCCAGGGAATGGGGAGAGTTAATGCCAGGCTGGTACCCAGCCCTCCTGAGGGGGAGCCTTAAGCGTGAGTAGGCATCCGTGGTGTTTAAGACCATCCTTCGTGATGTCGTGTCCATGTGGAACGGTGCTGTTCTGTGTGACTGCCCAGTGACTTGTTGGAGCATCTCTACTGATCAGAGGGAAGTCTTTCACTCTGTGGTCCTCACATAACCATCAGAACCACCCCCCTTTCTTCCCAGAGGGATTAATTGGTTTGGACTACATCCAGCTGGTGGTGGGGTTAAAACATTTCAGACATTTTGGCTGGTGATCCACCAAGAAACGACTGTGCACCAGAGAGCAGCCAGCAGGAATAAGGAGGAGGAGTGACATCACTGGAATAACCTTGAGGTCTGTGTCTTTCTGTCTACAGGCGCCCGTTTCCACCCGGAGACCGAGTCACGTTCAATGGGAGAGACTGCCTCTGTCAACTCTGTGCCCAGCCGATGTCCTCCAGCCCCAACGAAGCTGCCTGCTCCGGCAGTAAGTGCCCTGCGACACTTGGGTCTGAATTTCTTGTAGTTCGGAAGTAGCTTAGGCAGGTACCTACCTGTCACTCGCTCTGTTTTTTAAAGTCCTTTTAGCTGAAGCCAGAAGTCATTCGAAGGCATTTTCTATTGGAAAGCATGAGCCCTGGTGAAGACTTTCATGAAAAACAAGGCAGTGAAAAGCATCTCCCTTATTTCAAAAGCGTGTAAAGAGCTGGTCATCACACCAAGCATCTTGAAATACGTGAAAGACAAAGGCTTTACTTTAGAGAGCAGTCCCCTGAGACTGTGGGCGGTGAGACGTGGCCACATTTGGAGGTGATGTGACTGATTGCTCTTTTTGTTAGAAAAAATTATCCCACCACTGTCCTTGTGGTGTAAATATGGTGAGTTATGCCAGTTACAAAGGAGCCCTGGCACATAGTCCATAATGTCTTGGGCTGCTAACCAAAAGGTTGACAGTTGGAATCCACTGTAGGAGAAAGAAGGGCAGTGTGATCCCATAAAGAAGTACAACTTCAAGGGAGCTCTGGTGGCCTAGTGGCAAGACACTGCACTGCAATCCCAGAGGTACGTGGTTCAAATCCACCAGATGCTCTGCTGGAGAAGGAGGAGGCAATCTCCTCCTGTACCAGTCAGATCTGATTTGACGGTACACGTAAAAATAATACAATAAAAATTAAAAAAAAAATAAAAAAGCAGTACCGCTTCCGAAACCAAACAGAGGGTCTTGGAGTTAAATCGATTTGACACCAACAGGTTTGTTAACAGTTACTGCAGGTAACAGTAGTTAACACTTAACAGTTGCTGTAGAACCAGTTCTAACTCGTGGCTCCCTCCATATTGGCGTAATAGACTACCACGTGGAGTTCTCAGTAGCTGACTTTTGGGGCAGAAATTTTGGGAGCCTTTCTTCCAAGGTACCTCTAGGTGAACTTGAACCTGCAGTCTTTTAGTTAGCAGCTAAGTGAATTAAGCTTTGTACTATCGGGGTCTCCATTGTAGGTGTGTATCCTTACCTTGCAACGGTAATTTCTCCACTTGGGGACTTTCTATCGCTTATCCTTTCAGCAGGTCATTTGCTGAGCACCTAAGAAGTATATAGCATCGGAGAGAAAGTCATACATTTAAAACTCTTCATCCTCAGGCAATTTGCCTTCTATGTGAGCATGTAAACAAAAAATAAACACGCAAAAACATCTGCTGGGCCAAACAGTAATGGTAATGAAGTCCTAGGAAGAAGAATGAAGTACAGCCGAGGGGCTGCTTTTGTCCAAGTCAGGGATGACCTCTAAAAAGTGACACCTCAGGAAGGACCTGGAACAGAGTAGGATCCAAGTCACACCTTCATGGTGGCATTTGTAATTCTTTATGAAAAAACATTTCATCTGACTTACGGGAATCCAATAGAATCCAAATAGAACCAAGGTGCCTCAACATAAAAATAGTGGCCAGTGACACTGTTTCTTCTATTTGTTCTAGGCCACTCACTTGGATGAGTATAGGTCAGTCACAGCTTTTGAATGAATGAGACCTGTGAGAGGGAGCTCCAATCTCATCTCATTTCCTTTTAGGAGACCTGGGATGAAGCCTTTAAGCTCTCCATGTCCCTCTGCAGAAGCTACTTTTGCTCCGGAGGAACTTTGTGTAGTTTACAACAGTGATTCCACATCTTCCCATTAAATAGGAGAGGCTTATACTAGTTAGAAAGGAAAAAAAAAGGTTCTGACCAAAGTAATTGGATTTTGACCATCGGGAGCCAGGAAGAAAGTGAATATTCATCACATCCAATTGCATCCTTAGCGTGTGAGTTTATCGAGTTTACTGAAATGATAAGAGCCAGAGCAAGGTGCCAACTATGAAGCAAGGAACAGTCCTAGACCCTTGGTAGGATTTCAAGTTGGAGCAGCCACTGTTCTTAATTACTTTGTCCAAAGAAGTAAAGTCAGTCCACGCTATTGAACCGGTACCATGGGTGGGTGCAGCCATGCGTGGTGTTTCAAAGGATGTGCGTTCATTTCCTAGACTTCCTTAACAAATTATCACAAAGTGAATGGCTGAAAACAACCAAAATTTATTCTCCCACAGTGTTGAAGGTTGGAAGCCCAAATTTATGGTGTTGACAGATCTATACTTTCTCAGAACGTCAGAATTTTTTTTTCCTTTTAATCCTTGTCTTTTTCTAGCAGCCCTAGATTTCTCTTGCCTTATAGAAACATAACTATTCTAATCCTTGCTGTACTTTCACATGGCTGTTCACCTCTGTGTCTGTGTCTTTTCTCCTCATTGTTTAAAGATATAAATCAGAGATAGCTGCATTCTTCTCCCATATGATTACATCTACAGTGACCCTGTCTTCAGACAAGTTCATCTTCTCAGGAACCAGTGCTAGACTATCCCTTGGGGGCCTTCCAATTCAAACTGTAATGTAGGGATTCCTTTTATAAGTATGTTACCCAAAACCTTCGGGAGGAGTTCTCCAGTTAAGGAAAGAGGATTTTGTGACAGTAGCTACAACAGAAGGCCTTGTCTGTGACAGAGGTGGCTGTGGCCTTGAACCCTGTGACATCCAGTCACTTTTTGGACTAGGTGAATTCTTGAGGCCGTGGGCTAACCGAAGGGCGGCAAGGTGGAATCTTGTCCTTATGCAGATCTTTTGACTCCTGGGATTGCTCTCTTTGTTACTTCACTCCTTGTCATTTGATTTAAGAAATGAAAAGGACTATTTTTAAAGACCTCCACTCGTTCTCAGCTTGTACAATCTGTGAATGTGTTTCTCAGTCCCAGCTCTACCAAAATGGTAATTCAAATGTTTACAACTGCTTTCTTTTGCTTTGTCTATATTTTCTATTTTTATATGGAAGACATGTTATGCACCTAAGAAGAAAAATGTAAAAAAAGTAAAAATTGTAAAAATGTCATCAAACTCAAATTTGTTGCCTTTTTAACACTGTTGTTGTGTACTGCTGAATTGGAATTGACCCATAGCTGACCCTCTGGCAGATTTCCAGACATGAGGAGACTGCCCATCTTTCTCCTGGGGAGCAACTGGTGAATTCATACCACATACCTTTGGGATTACAGCACAATTCCTTACCTCAAAGCCACCAGAGCTGCACCTTTTTAATGCTCAACTTCATAATTATTGTTTGGATGCAATTCTTTGGGTCAAACCATATTTTCTGCTTTGCTCCTTGTGGGTAGAATTCGTTATCTGTGCAGTTACTTTCACTAGAACATTTTTTATGTTTAACAAGTCGTTTTCTATTTAAGTATTCAAGTAACATTTATGGGACACGTGGGTGTGAGTGTCTATGAAAAAGAGAACTCTTATATCTGGATCCACGCATGTACAATACCCACACTATGCACACACACAAATACTACAGTAATGGGGATTTTCAGCAAGCCACAGACATTCATTGCAGCGTAAGGAGAAAATACTTGGCTGTATATTGTAATGTTTTAATAATGTCTTATACTTTAACCTGTCCTATTGTGACTTTAATTCTTATTTTAAAAAGTAACAACAAAGCCCTTTTTAAACTTGGCAAAGCTCCCTAAAGAGAAGCAGAAAATGGACATTTTTTTTTGTAAGTGTGAAACATTTATGCTCTCCCTTCATACTCTTCAAGGAGCCGAGGCTGCGAACCGAAAAGTTGGCAGTTCAAATCCACATTCGCTCTAAGGGAGAATGATGGGTAATCGCATCCCATAAAGATTTTACAGCCTCAGAAAGCCAGTCTGGGTCTTTATCAGTCAGAACTGACTTGATGGCAGGGATTTGAGTGTGGGGGTTGATACTTGGGCGTCAGGTTGGGTTCAGTCAGTAAACTGAGCTAGGCAGTCATGGCCCTCTTTTCTCTTCTGACGGAAAATAAGTTTGCTCTTCCGAACCACGCTTTTCTTTCTCATCTGGTGCCTCCTTTTGCGCGGTAAATTGAGAATACTGAGTTGGAGGTGAAGACAGCTTGAGAGGGAGGACGGAGGCAAGAATGGCCAGAAGTAGCTAAGTGATGATGCAATGAGGGTTTCTTTCCACAAAATGATCCCTGAATTTATACAATCAAGATGCAACATTCATATTCCAGCTGCCTCGTGGCTATGGCATCTGTATTGCATTATGTCCAGCACACTCTCCTACCTTATTTCTCTAACTTCTTTAACGACTGTATTTTCTTCTTCAAACAGCCATGCCATTGTTGTTGTTGTTGTTGTTGTTCTGTACCATCAAGTCGACAGTGACTCATAGCGACCCTATGAACAATGTCTCTGAATCCTGCCCTGTCCTGTGCCATCCTCACCCACTCTGACATACTTGAGCCCGTTATTTTTTTTATTTTATTATTAATTTTAATGAACATTTACAGAGACTTTGGCTTTCCATTCTTTCATTGTTGCGTTTTTTCTCCCTGCCCACCCTTGAGCCCATTATTACAATCACTGTATCAATCCACCTTTACTGAAAGTCTTCCTCTCTTACGCTGACCCTCCACTTTTCCAAGCATGATGTCCTCCTCCGAGGACTTAGTTCCCCCTTACAGCATGCTCAGAGTATGTGACATGGGTTCACCATCCTTGCCTCCAAAGAGCACCGTGGTTTCACTTTCTGCAGGATAGAACTGTCGATTCTCTTGGCAGTCCATGGAATGGATACTCTATACTATTCCCCATTACCACAACTCAAAGGCATCAATTCTTCTTCTGTCATCCTTAGTCATTGTCTAACTTTCAGATGCATGGCAAGTAATTGAAAAGAAGAAATCTATATAGTACGTATTATGTAACAGTCTTGTAAGTATCTACTCATTTCATCCTGTTACAATCCTAAAGGGGTGTGTATATGATTGCTTCAGGGATCCCTGAGGTCATGCTCAGGTTCAGTGAGTCCCTATAAAAGCTCATGGAACTTGGAGAAGTTGTTACACTAATGGTTGTCATTTCTCACTGTGAAAAACTACAGATTAAAGTTAGCAAAGGTAAAAGGCGTATGGG